TTTGAAAAATGAGAGAAAATTGAGAAAATATTTTTTAATTGGCAAAATTTCAAGCCCAAATCAGGTAAAACTACTAGTATGCTAAAAAAATTACCTTATCCTTTTTGAAACATATTTTTTAGAACAGACTTTGTTTAAGACAGAAATCGCTATCATACATTTTGTGGTTTTGAAATGTTACTTTTTTGCAATTTTTGAAAATACGGAGAGTTCACCGATAATGGGACAAGTACCATATTTTTTAACGCCCGTTGATACATACGAGGAGAAAAATTGAAGAAAAAATTGGAGCGGTTTTTGAGAAAAATGTTAATTTATTTTTAATCGCCTATATTTCGCGCAAAATTACACAAAAACCACTTCTATTTTCGAAAAATAAATGACCTTACTTCAAGATCTGTCTTTAAAGAATAGATTTCGTTGAGGGAAAAAAATCTTTATCTTCAATGTTAATCAACTCGACCCAAAAGCTTGCACTTTTGCAATTTTCAAAAAATCTGGGATTTTAAAGAACATGAAACCTTCACTTAAGCTTCCATTAACTTCAGTTGCTCTTAGCAACCTTTACGCTAGCCAAGGACAAAGTTTTTAAAAAATAGGAGCCATTTTTGAGAAATTTTTAAAAATGTTTTTGAGACTTCATGTAAAGTACCTTCAAAAATCAAAATATCCAGTTATCCAAATTAGAGTTGAAGGAAGATGCCGAAAAAGATGTGAACTTCTGAAGAAAGAGAAAAAAGAAAAAGAACCCCTGGAAATTCAACGAAAATGAGACCTCAACCTTTGTTTTAACGCTATTTACATATTTGTATTTTACGCTATTCGAGTATCAAATTTAATCCAAAGATTTGTAGTCATTTTTTAATGCAAATATTTTGAGACTTCAGATAAATCACCTCTTAAAATAAAAATATCCGTTTCACACTCAAAGGTCCTACAAAGTGTTCCATTAATTCGATCGAGAATTACCAATTTGAAAGAAAAAGGCTGAACTATTTTGGCGCTATAGCGTTATCCACAGACATGAACGGACCGACGGACAGAGATATCAAAGTCCTGTAAAACATGAATTCTGACTATGTGTTAGAGGAAGTATTCTCTCCATATATAAAAAAAATGGATGTTTCTATATAAGAACGATAAACTCCGACACCGTGTGACCGACCTCCATGAAAGTTGGCACATCTGCATGTTTTTCACCACAAGATTTATGTGCTGTTAATTTTGTTGTAACTCTGCTTGATGGCGCAGAAGAACAAAAGTACTCATTTTAATTCAATTTCCATTCTAAGTGCACTCCGCCTAGTCTTATTTGTTGCTTAGGGCTGCCGTCTGACACAGGGCGTGATAGCGGCGCGCGAAAGAGAGACGGGGACACAGAAGACAGAGGCGAAGAGAGACAGAGGCAGAGGATGAGAGAGTCACACAGAGATGTGTTCCTCTGTAAAGAGGGACAGAGACGGAGAGATGGAGAAAGGGAGAGGCAGGAACAGAGGCGGAGACTGGGAGGTAGTTAGCCTGAGACAGGGACAGAGAGATGTAGAGAGAGAGAGAGAGAGAGGGAGTCGGAGAAAGGGAGAGGGAAGGATAAAGAGGGAGTTGAAGGGTAGAATAACGTCTGGCTGGTTCCGTTAGTTTACGATATATAAGATTTATACACTTTTTCGTTACCAGGGCCCGGCAATAAGCTTTTCTGTCCAAAATTCGCCGTACAACAGTGCACGATTACAATACCTTCTTCTCTTACAAAGGGCAAGGAAGTGAACTAGTGTGGAACATCACTGCACAGACTTTCTCGTACTAGTTGGCTCTCTAATTACTTTGGTCTGGGCTAGCTTTATGGTTTTGCCTCCATCTCTTCCCAGCTGCCGTCTACCGCAGCAAAAATACATTTTCAGCATCATTTCAAGCACTTCTGCTCACAAATGCAATAACGTATACAATAAATCGCTTGTAACGTAAATATTAATGACGTCAGAGATACTTCAAAAAAATATATGTGTAATTTTTGAGATAACAAAATAATACATCATTTTGCATTTGTCATGTTATTCAGACCATTAGGCACTATCTGTTCAAAAAATTTAAGGAAAAACTGTAGAATCGTTTTTGAGAAAAGGATAGTTAAATTTTTCCGAAAATGAAGTTCGAGCTCATTGCCACAGAGGCTTTTGAATTTTCAAGAAACTTTATAAGTCATCATTTGAAGCATATGTACTCATAAATAATGTATACAAATTTCCAGTATTGTAAATATAAAAGATATTGCAGAGTTCAAAAAATTATATATGTGCAATTTTTGATGAAACAAAACAATACAGTAATCTCTCAACATCCGAGAGAGTCAGTTTCCCAAAAAGCAACGTGAAAGTCAAACCCGCAAATGTTGAGTCTATCTTTTAATGAAGAAAGGTGGGTTAGGTTCCAAGATATCGAAAAACTTAAAAAAAAAATAAAAAAAATTGACGAATGGTTTCTGTACAACTGAGTAAGCGCTACAAACAGAATTAGCAATTAACATCCCAAAGAGAAGCATTATACTATTATTTGTAACTTATCTCATTGAAAGTGAATGGATACAGAATATTTTTCTTTCATCAACCACTTTGTTGTAATATCCAAATATGGAAGTGTTGCTGCATCTATTTCTCTTTTAAATTTTGAAGTAATTTGCATGTTCAAGTCGAACAGTCGCAGTCGAAGTCACAGTCGAATCCCCTTTCCACCAGAACTTGTTGAAGTTTTAAAACGCCATTAACAGTTTTGTCGTTGGAGTTGCCCCAGGATTCAGTTTCACTTCTGTTATTTCGTTATGTTTGAGGGGTTTTCTTCAGTGATGATTTCCCCCTCTTCAATGAGTTCATTATGATGTGAATTGAACAGATCCTGAATGGCTTTTCAGTTCATGTGGCCAAAACCCTTATCTCTAATTTGACGCAACTGAATTGAACAATTTTACAATCGTTTTATCATTTTAATGTGAATGAATTCCATGGTGGTAGCAGATATCTTGTGTTAATCCATAATGTGAGAAGGAAATAATCATCCACAATAAAGTATAATAAACGTCCAATCCACGTTGCTTGGGCAAGACCCACTGGGGATGGGAAAAGTGTTTTCCCGTACGTTAACACTGGGAATGGAATAATTAATAAAATTATTATACTTTATTGTGGATGATTATTTCCTTTTCACATTATTTTAATGTGAATTGACATTCCAACTTTGACATTTTTGGAGAACGTACTTTGAGATCCGGTGCCTGCCACCATCGTTTCCCAGATGGCGCTGAATAAAATATATGAAATGTGTTTGCTTTAAAAAAAATATAGTACAACTAAAAGACGCACTTGTGAATGTTAAAACCGGTAGCATTCTCTAATCATGAGTGTTTGGAACTCGCAAATAGCGCATTCGGGGTGTCCAGCAAAATAAGAGTTTGTCATAGTTTACAGTATATTTAGCACTACCCTACCAAACGTTTTAAAGAAAAAATTTGGGGCAGTTTTTGGAAAAATATTGTTTTTGATTTTTTAAATAATGCACATATTTTGCTTAAAATTTTGTGAGAACAAAAATTTTCAAGAAAATTTAATGACCTTAATGAAAAAACTAAATACATAGGTATGTAGAACAAATTTCATTTGAATGAAAAATTCTGTTTTTAGTAGTAGGAAGACACCAAAAAATTCAAACCTAAATATTGATTTTTGAAAATTTAGGGTTAACTGTGAAAATCAGGCTCTTGCTATATTGAAGTGTATTTCACTCTATTCTTACAAAATTCAGAGCCATTTTTGTGAAAATTTTGAAAATGATCCAGGAGCTTCATGTAAAAAAGTCACAAATTTAAAAAAATGTTTTTTTAACTAGTAGAGCTTTCAGTGGGGTCTGATTTACTGAGGAATATTAGTTTTGGAAAATAATCCTAATAGTTTAGGCGCTAGATATCAATATCAAGGATATGTGGATTCGAACTACACTACATGTTAAAGAACGTAATTTATAATATATTGGAACAAGATTAACCTGCTTTACATGTATAAAGGCCCCACAATACACGTATTTTTGTCAAAAAACAGCTGTTTTTGCCGCATTAAATACCCCCCCCCTCTCTCTGTCCGTCTCTCTCTCGCTCTTTCTCTCTTTCTCTCTCTCTCTCTCTCTATACACACACACACACACACACACACACACACACACACACAAGAAAGTAAGTAAGAAAGTAAATATTGAATTTTTAACAACAGATTTCACTAGGGGAAAAATTTCAATAATAATTTTTGTCTTTTTGCCATGTTCATTTTTTTGTTGCTATTTTAGAAAATAAACTTTACTAAAAAAGGATAATGCACCTTTTTTATGTGTCCTTACTCTATTTGAACGGGACAAAAGATTTTCAAAATTGGGGCCATTTTTAAGAAAAAAAATTATTAAAAATTGTCTACATTTTAAAAATCACATGGAACTACTCACATTTTCTAAAAAATGGAAATGATCCTAAATAAAGACTTGTCTTTGAAGAACAGATACCACTCATAAACTATCTCCAATAGGTACTGTAGTTGTAGAAAGTTATTGAAAAAAGTTTGAATTCATCAAATTTTGAACATTCATTCACTGAAATTGAGACCTTGAACAATTCCTCCCACTCACCAAGGAAAAAGCTTAAAAATAAATTTGGAGCCAGTTTCAAGAAAAAATTGTTTAGGCTTCATCTAAAGTACCCCAAAGGTCAAAATATCAGTTCTAAATTTGCAGGGTCTCAAGTTCACACAAATTCATAAGAGAATATCAATTTTGGAGAAAATGGAACTATTTTAGCACTGCACCAGTGTTCCCTACCATACAAAACTTACAGTAAGTCTTAATCAATAAAGCAAAGATTATATGAACACAAATTAATCAAAGGCAAAATGTTGAAGTTCACCAGTACTTTATGAATATCAAACTAATTTTGATAACTCCAACATAATACTTCAAAGTACAGAAACTCTTTTGAGCTTGACACACCTAACGTAAGATATTCAAATATAAAAAAAATAAAAAAATAAAAAAATCTATTCATAAAATATTTAAAATAAATTAAATGGTTTATATTTTTGGACATTTGCCGAAAACACAATTAATACTCATGTACCAACAAATAAGAAAGAGTTAGTAACAAATATGTTATTAATTTATTATAATGTAATTACTATGTACAGTTGTATTTATGACAAATGACTTCATTATAATTATGGCAAAGATTCAACATCTTTTCTTGAAATCAAGATCTCCATGTGACTTCTACTTCATCAGTACGATACCTGAAAATAAAATAAAAAGCAATTTGTTCTATAATGTAGAAGAGAAGCGAGAATCAACAGGCAAACATTCAATATACAGTAAAGACCAAATAACTTCTAAAATGACATCACTAAATTACAAGAGAGAAAATCAGAATATGATAAAATCTACAAGAGAGTGACACTTAATCACAGTTGATTAAATACCTAGTCAATCCACATTTCACCTGAGGGTTAAAAAATAACTGCAGTTTAACAAAAAGAATAGCACATACTTTACAGTGTTGCTAAATAATTAATTCATAAGAATATTGGAATAGAATTGAATAGAATTGATAAGAATTGATAAGAATATTGGAATAGAATTATTCTTAACATTATTGTTGAGACAATTTTTAGTCAAAGTTTTAACTGTTTTTCCCTATTTAGCAACAATATTTGTCTTTTTGAATCAGATGTTAGAAATAGTATTGTAATGTAGAACTCTAAGGAAAGCTACAAGACTGTTCACATTGTAGATCACAGATTAAGGCATCACACATTTCCAATTAAACAAAGCTTCAGAATATGACCATCATCCTGTATCTACGAAAGCAGCCATGTGAAAAGTTTTCTAGGAGAAACATCAACACACTCAAATAATTATTTTTCCATCATTATATACTCGTATATTTAAAGCATAATTAAGGTACAAATTCTAAAAAGATTTTTCTCCTTAAAGTGTACATAGCTTATTTTAATGTTCAAAAACAGTTTATCTGGTGCTATGATACACTGGATTCTAGTTTTGAGTGAAGAGACACATTGGCTAAGTTGTACATAAGTTGTAATAAAATCTGAAACTTGCTTATTTCAGAACTGTAAAAAAAAGTCCTAAAACAATAACAACACATTGCATTTACAGAATTAGTAAAAAAAACTTTATTCTCACCTTTGGGTACATGTAACTAAATCCCAAGGGGTGGTGGTTCCACTTTTAAACATTTCAATCCCAGCTTGGGCAATCATTGCACCATTGTCAATACAAAATCGCTCATCAGTAGCATATAATTTTGCACCTCTTTCTTCACACATAATGTTCATCATTTCTTGTAACCTTAAGTTGCAACCCACTCCTCCCACAATGAGGACTTCTTGTGAACCACAATGAGACATTGCCCTCTCTGAAAGATGAAAATGACACAATCGATTCATTTTTTCATGCTTCCCATCAGTGTAGTGACAATTGTATCTCAGGAGTCGGTAGTGTTCCATTCTTACTAGAACGTGATATTCAGCACCAAAAGGCAACTTGTGTGTCTCTGTGTGTGTGGCGGGGGATCCTTATCAGGTATCTCCACCAGCAGATCGGCGCTAAAGCTGGGTCTGGAGCTCTAGGCTCACAACTGGTCTCCCAATATGTGTGGTGGTTTAGTACATGTAATTGTAATGCATGTGTGAATATGTAAGGAGAGAGAAGAGGACCAGGATGAAGATGGAAAGATCTCACACAGTTTAAGCTTTTTTTCTGATGTTTATCTGGTACTGAACAAAAGTATCATGGAAACTAACAACCTAAAGACGTAGTGTAAAAAATCTGGCACATTGGGATTTGGCACCTAAAACATCCCAGTCAGAGACATTACAATGGCAATAGCAGTTGCCCCAAGCTATCTCAGCAAGTCAAAAAAATGACCCAAAATAAAGCTCAGTCTTCAGTGCATAATCTCTTTTGTAACAGCTAGATAACAAATTTTATATATTTAGATAACAATTAGTTTAATTTTTCTTTGTGCAGTCAGTAATGAAACTACACATTTGATGGTAAATTATTTAAAGAATGCAAAATATTTTTCTTATTTAATGCCATAATCACAGCACAGATATAACCCAATACATTAACAAATTATGGAACTTAACAAAAATTTACCTGTGATTTCCACAAGCATGGCAAAAATAGTTTCCTGCAGAGAGTAACACAAGTCCTCAGGAGTGTATTGCTTGCTGCTAATAAGATGGGGTGCTTGCTTTTCAATATTTGATAATATTCCAGAAAACGAAACATCCATACCCTTCACTGTGTAAGGTAAATGAAGGAACTTTTTGCCTCTGTAAGTAAACACATTTACATGCTGAATAATTACATGTTTCATGATTAATGAACATTTACATGTTGCAATAGAATTGTCAACAAATACCACCAAAATAAAATTAAGCAGTAAGTTGAAAGCCGAAAGTTGAAATCAACAAAAGTTTATTTTCACTTGAGAAAAATAATGTAAGACAATTTCTTCTTCATCAGTAAATATTTAGATGAGTTTGCCAGCAATATCGGGATTTGTTTGCTGTTTATAATAGATCTACATTTAACCTGTTACCTCTTATTCATGAATATGTTCATACCAGAAAAACCATACTTAAATGAGTGGAATGTATATTGTGCAAAATATAAACTTGGTTATGTAGACAAAACTGTGAATCATTATTAAAACATCATTAATTCTGATACTACTTTTCAAACATAAATAATTTAAAGTTCCGGATGCCTGGAAAATACAACACAATCAGATCAGATTTGGTGTGGAACTAGTCAAGTATTGTTGAAACTCATACAAATGCAAATTTATGAGGTAAAGATATAAGGAAAGAAATCGATTCTAGAAAATCTTCCATGACATCATAGAATTCTTAACTTCCTTTTTAGGTTTTTGTAAACAAACATACATTAAAAATTTTAATTTTTAATTTATGTTGTTTAAAAATCTTTAATTCCTTGAATTTAAATACAATTTTTTTAGTGAACCATGTCTAAAAATCAAAGGAGCCAAATCCTTCTGCTTGTAAACTGGAAACACATAACAGAAAAGACTTTAGAAGTTTCTTTAAAGAAGTTTAGAAGAGAAGAATTTTTAATAAAATATTCTGAGGTCAGCATTCAAAATTCACAATTAACAATGGTTACATTAAATAAAGCTGAACAGTAAATCATGTAATTAATTTAAATTAATGCTAGAACTCAGACTAAAAAGTACTACTAATAATTCTCTAATTAAAAAAATACATGAGCATACTTAAACATGTCATCCAACACCATTAGCATTGAAAATTTATAGAATTCAGAATCTTTAAAATAATTTGTATATTAAAAAATTCATGTTATACTGAAATATACTCACTTTTCAGCCATTTTCTCTATATTATAACCAGGACTGGGGTCATTTGACAATTTCAACACTCTAGCAAATCTATCCAGACAATTTCCGATTGCAATATCAATAGTCTCCCCAAAAATACGGTATCTATTTTGGGAATAGGCTATGATTTGAGTGTTACCACCACTGACATATAACACTGTTGGATCATTGCACATAGTGATTAATCTTCCCATTTCAATATCTAGGTTCACACTTAAGGATAATTTATGAATGGTAAAAATATCAAGAGCATTCCAATTTGTATTAAGAAACTCAATTACAACCAATTAAACTTGCAACTCCTGCTCTCTAAGTACAATAAAACCAACTAAAATTTCACAATTTTAAAATATTTGTTACTGAAGATGATGTTGATGTCATTTAATTTGATTAATTTAGTCAAAAAAAAGCAGTAGAAATTGTATGTGATGTATGGGGGAGAAAATCAATATGTTCATTAGTAAGCTACTTTTATATTTAAATTACATACTTCAACACAACCATTTGATTAAGTTCACATCATTCAAGTACCCTCTTTAACATCCTACAAATGACTAAGAAAAGGATACGACCAATACAATGGTTCACACCCAATAATTGGCTTATTCCATATCTGTGCTATAGTTCGTGCAACAAGAGCTACCATAATTAAAGGAGCACCCATTCCAGGACCTTTGGTATAACAAACTACATCTATCTTATTGTGGGGAAATGCAACCGGACTGTAATGAGTGTTCACGGACCAATCCAATATTTTCCTCACGTGGTGTGAGCTGTTTCCCGAGGAAGGAACCCTAGATAATAACAAAATTTAAATAAAAACATATACTTTGTTGTGAAACAAAATATGAACACAAAACCAGGAAGAAATCTGTGTATCATTTCGCGAGGTGGAATTACACCATTTGACAAATGCTATTTTCTGAGAACTTATAAGAGATTGTGTGTTGTATTTACTAATTTTACTTCTTTATTCTAACTCACAAGGGGTATTACGAATCCGCTTCTCAGTAAAGTCCTGACTGATCACTTGTGACAATGTCCTCGAGGTTAATTCACAATTTTTATATGAGAAAAAAAAAGAGTCTCCGAACTAGCTAG